ATCTACAGCTTTAAGCGATAATGAGAAAGATGACGATTTAGGTAAAACGTATTCTACTGTAGACACTAATGCTGTTCCAACCATTTCTGAAATGATAAAAAAAGTGTCAGAAACTCAGAATTTTCTACAATCACGTCAAGTTCTTAATCATATCTGAGAGTCCTTTGGTGATCTTGAAAACTACATAAATAACATCTATTTTTGCAGCAGAAATATACAAACAAAAATAACAGACTTTATGAAGTAGATTTCAGATTGAATTTTGTTTATCTTTTTGTGTTCTTTTTAGTCATACCTACTAACTCCTACTACTCTATGTAAAAATAACGAAATAAAATACACCACGTGTTTTTGTATTATTATTCGCTTATAGCGAACTGCGGATATAACAAACCAGTTTTAGTTCATTTTTCAAGATCGTTATATCCGGACTCAACTGTATTTATAAGTTGTGCAATCAATTCTCTACTACACATATACATGGCCTCCTCAAAAAACAAGTTTCTCTTCTAATTTTCGAGATATTTAGAAAAACGTAATTTTTCAGATTCCCATTTTTTTCAATTTCTGATGTTATTTCAAATAATATAAAAAAACAAAAATACTTTCTTATTGCACCTTGTCGAGCTCTACAAGATCCTGTCAATGAAAATGCGTTGCAACGTTTCGTTTCTTTGAAACCATCGTCAAGTGTGTTTTCCATATAGACCGAAAAAAAGTACATAACGTATTAGCTAGTTTGTTTAATAGCGAATTCAATGATGTTATTATTATAATTTGCTACGGTTCTTGCCCCCAAAAAACCATTTTTTTTTTGTAAATTATGAATTTTTTCCATGTGCTTACAACAAATATCCTGAAATAACACCGCTTAATAGGTAAAATTTCAAGCGTCTTTTTCGTTCAACTTTTTTGGTTTTTTTTCTGGTAATTTAAACTTCAGTTTTCGTATAACTTTTTCTTCATTGAAATGTTTTATTCTGGTTTTGGTAAGTTTTGCAAATTTGAAAATCCTAAAAATCACTTTTTTCTAAATATTTCAAAAATTAAAAGAAAAACTTTGTTTTTGCAAACCCCATACACAGGGTGTCTCGTAAGCACATGATCAAAGGGATACTGCGATATTATTTGCATCGAAAGAAGACGATCTGACCTAACTTTTATTAACAAAAAATATCTCCTCTGCTATTGATGGTCAAAGTTCTTCAAAATATTTATTTTTTTTGAAATATTGGGAGAATGGTATCGGTAAAACTATAAATGCTACAAGATTTTACAAAGAGCACAAAATTGTGAATAAATGATTAATGCATCAAACAAGAAAAAAATGATGTATTTGAGATGTTTTTTGTTACTCTTCTTAATCCATTCAAGTGTTAATTTTTCTTGAAAAATCCCAATTTAAAGAAGCAAGTGGACTGGAAATGAAATATTTTTGGACTCTGCAAATTGACCATCACGGCCACGTTCTGGTTGCAAGAAAACAGATTTGTTGATTGCATTGTTCACTGTATTGTTTGATTTCTTGTATTGCGGTTTTTCGTTTTTCCTCTGTCGATTCTTATGTGTATTTTATCTTCTATTTTGTCCTGTATATGTTAAATAGGTGAAATCGATATGAACTGAATGAAGTTAATTCAACTTGAGAGCCTCCCTTTGCGCCCACCAATTAAAACTAAGTGGGTGTTGGTTGTTGCTCTTCTCCATGGTCTGCTTCTTCCAATTTGATACAGAAAGGTTCAATTTCAATTGAACCACTTGGTCTAGAAGGAGCAAACTGGCCAAAAACTCTTCTATAAATCGATTTTTTTCAGGTCGCGAAGACGATCGGGCAGCAGTTTGGTAGTGCTCGATTCCGAGCTGGCAGAGCCGGTAAAGAAAGCGGCCGACGATCTGGATTCTTTGGATATGGTGATGGTGGTGTCCCATGGAGCGGACGATGGACAGCCCCATCGTGAGATGGCGGTGGACGTTCCGGAGAGTTTTGTCGCCCGAAATAAAACGCCTCCAAGGTATCCGCCACCCAAGCCCACCCTGACGGTAAGTCCCACTGTTTGTCCACACTAAGCTTTTCTGTACTGGAGGAAAACGACTTCGTGTCTCTGTAACAAACCCAGCACCTTCTGATGCATTTTGAACAAACATTAACCAATCCAGGCGATTTTTTATTATGGATTAATCAACTTAGGTCGGGTACAATCGATTTTCCGGCGTGAATTTCGGCGGGGACACGCAAGAACGAGCTATCGACGTACCTGACAATTATATCGACCGCAAAAGCACTCCGCCAAAAATTATCGCCAAATCCGCCAAAAGTAAACCAGAGGTAAAGCGAGTTTGAGGTTCTTCCAAAGAGCAACTTAACATTGTTTTAGTCTTGTATGAACTAACCATGTAGCCGGGTAGTCTGTACACTCGAACTAACTTGTATTGCAACACTTAACATTTAAAGGGTTTAAAGGGGAAAATTGCTGGCTCATTTTCAACAAGAACAGAATGGTATTTGAGCCAACAAAGGAATTGTTGACTTTGAAAGGCAATTTTTTAGAGCAGCCGCAGGAACTCCACACTTTTCGCATGCGACTTCCTAGCGATAAATCAGTTACTTGCAACAATTTTCAAATTATTTCTGCGATGTTTGTTTTAGTTTTTGAAAAACTTGACCCCATAGGTGGCCAGACTTTAGTCTCCTGGTGCAAAAACAATTAGAACTGAGTGTTGCAAGTTATACACTAGTTTGGGGTAACATGCAACAAGCACGTTACATCAATAATAATTTATTTTCCTGACTGCGCGTAATTGCTATTATATTTTTTCTTGCCTGGGTTTCAGTCAAAGTGTGAAATGAAAATGTTCATATCGTTTATTTCATATTACGTTTCGCCGAGACAACAGCGCCATCATCAGATTTAAAATTCTAGCTCCTGCTAGAATAGTGAACAATAATAATATAAATGCGACCCCGATTTGTACCCTGTATATGTAGGAACCCGAAAACCCGCACCCTGTATATGTAGGCACTTGTGCTCAAACATTGTCTTCATATTCTTATGCTTGAAGCTCTTCTCGTTGTCTGCATTCTGCTAGTTTTCATTCTTCATTCACTCTTTTCCAATTCTCCTGGAGATTTGCCTTTTTGCTAGATTATCTCGGAGATTTTTTAGGTTTTTTAAACAACTTTTTCAACTTCCGTATGGTCGTCTTGGCCGAAATGTTCAGAAATTTTGAACATTGGAGAATATCGCGAATCTRTTGTGGTTTTYRGAAAAACAAACTTTCGAGTTGAACACCGTGATTTTSGGAAAATGTTTTTCATTCTTCAGCGCTTAATGCATGCTGTTTCTTTCCAGCTTTGCTTCGGGGAGCAAAGCACGCGTTAAAACCTGAAGAAGGAAGTCAATGTTGGGAAATCGCCGTAATCGATAGAAGCATTTTTTCTCGATTCCACGCACGTCTTTCATTATCAAGCGTAAATAATTCCACAAAAGGAAAAGAATTGAAAGCCAATAGTTAAAGAAAAACATCCGAAATTGCTAATGTTGAAGAAATTTTAGAAAAAACAGAGAAAAGTATTGAGCATCGGTCTGTTGCGATCTTCAGAAAAAAACTGACCTTGTTTATTACCGGGGTTTCAAAAAATGAATATCCCTCTTCAGGGTTTAATGCGTGTTTCATTCCAACTTTGCTTCATGCAAAAAATAACGCGTTAAGCCCTGAACAAGGAAATCAAATTTCCCAAATCGCGTTAATAAACGCAGAAGTTTTTGCTCGAGACCACTCATGCCTTTGATTATCAAGCGCAGATAATTCCACAAAAGGAAAACAT